TCTGATGCTTCCCCTGCGGGAGCCGTTGTCGAGTCCGAAGTTGCCGTCATGCCCTCCGTTATAAAACGTCAAGGCACCGCTTCTGGTTTCCTTTTCACTCGTCCTGCGGTCGCCATGCGAGGCGCCATTGGCACTTACCCGGGGGAGGTGTGGGTATTGCGGCTCTACTATCTCATTCTAGTGTCTTTTGTTTCTTCCTTCCGCTGGACCGGTTTGCTTTTTGCGTCTGCTCAGTCCGTTGATTTCTCCATTCCTACCAGCTGGACAGTACGTGCGACATTGTACTGCTCCCCCACTAGACAATGTTAACGACTTCGCAACAGCGGCCGACATCTTCGCACTCATATAATGATCGCCTGCAGATCGTCAACGACGCACTATCTCCGTTAGCTTCCCTCATAAATCCTTCGATGGGTACGATCAACACGCCAGGTCAGGGTAATCTTTCTATCCCGAATCTCGTCGTGCTCACGGCGATGCAGACCTAGTGATATTACCTCAGGCGGCGAGCCTAACATGGGTCCACATACTGCACGACTTGTACAGTAACTCAACGACGTATCGTTCCCTTGTTCGGAATAACTTTCAGGTATACCAGCAGCAGCACCCTGGCTTTTATAATTCTTCACTGTGAGTGCCAAGCGCCCTACCAATGTGGTTAGTTGTATTGTCTTGTAGCGCCTTCTCTAATGCTTCTCTCGCCTCATAGTGTTCGTTCCGTCTTTTGTGTTGAGAAGGTGCGGCACTGACACTGTGTCCGATCCTAGGGACGCCTCACCAGCGACTCGTTGTAAGTCGACTATCCGTCGTCGCGAGGCTTTACCTGAGCAGCATCCACAGGATCTGGGGGCTCTCTGCCTGCTACGCTCATCGAGCCTATAGCGATAACTCGTACCTTCAGATTGCTCAGACCATATGGAGCAATACGTCATTTTACCAAGTCACAGAGACGCAGGCAGCAAATAAGTCTCATCCGGCTCGCAATATCACTATCGCTTCCAGCTGCCAAGGATCCCTTTCGCCCAACAATGGTATGTTCTATCTGTTGCATTTAGTAGAACCGTAACTAGAACACCAGTCCGTAGTATCGACTGCCGGTGCTGTCTTCTGGGTAAGAGATGGGTTTTCGAGTGCGTATCCGCACATCGTGATGACTTGCATGACGTGCAGATTCAAGACCAAGCTCAAGACAGCTACATCAACGGCGAAACTATAGGGCATGTCTTGTCTTTGAAGGCTCTTGTGTATTATCTCACATACTTGAGTCAGACCGTTTTTGGCGTACGCAGCCTCTCGCTCTCTAGGCCAGAGCGGAGAGAATGACTAGCTTTAAGGCTCTCGGCATATCTCTACCAGACCACTAACCAACAGATGTATGCGAATGCAGCGGAACTCGCTGCGTCCTTCGTTCGCAACTTTCTGTACAATGAGATCGTCCTTGACGGTGTCGATGTCGCCTCTTGCACTCGCGCTGCAACCAATTTCGGGGTTACGTACAATGCAGGTTTTGTGTTGGAAGGGCTATCTCTATTGGCAAATGCTACAGCTAATACCACCTGGCGGGATTTGTGAGCGACAGGTCTCAAAGCTAGACAAAGCGCTGACTCACATCATCAGCGCAAACGAAGTCGTCGTTTCCTCGGTTAACACTCCCTTGTGGAATAACTATGAGGGAGTCATCGTCGAAGGTGAGCAATGTATGACAATTCGTGCCTTACGCAATCGGATAAAACGCGTTAATAGGCGTAGATCCGGACCCCGACAATCTTCGTTACGCCTTTAAATGTAAAACAGCTTTCGCGACGTTCTTGGCTGCTCTGACGGTCCCCTAGCCTTTCTCCTTCGTGGATTGCACACGACATGGCTCGTTAACAGCCCGACTTCCGAACTTGCGCAGCTTATTTCTGCGTACATCACTGTTCAGGTATATCGCGCTCTCCTGCGGGTCTCCAAGCAACCCAGCTCACATGAATTGTCTCAGGCGAATGCGCTGCTCAGCGACGCCACAATAGCCGGGAGTAATAATTACACTTCCAACTGGACCGGTCCAGCGCTCCCGGAATTTCATCCCGCCTCTCAGGTCACTGCGCTGCATGCGTTAACACCGTTCTTTAATATCGCGAACAATGCGTGCGCAGCCGTTTTACCCCAGAAATGACACGTTTCTCAAACCCCGACTGACACAGATCTGCTCTAGTAACAACGCCCAATGGTGCAAGTACCCTGACTTCTTGGGTAGGCGCGAAACCAGGGCAAACTGGAGCTGTGACTCCGTCTCTTGCTTCGAGCTCACACACGAGCGTCGCCGCCGTCACAGGTGGCGTCGTTGGCGCAGTCCTGTCGTTGCTTGCAATTATGGTGGTATTCTTGTGCCTTCGTCGGCGTCGGCGTGCAAGTTCCAAGGTCAAGGATGGAGTGTCTACGCCTCGATCCGCTTGGGTCGAACCCTTTATCAGCAGAAATAACTTTGCGCCTGTTTTCGAGCAACCGCAGAGATTGTCTTCGGGGTCGCTAACCTCTTCGGCGCAGTTACGGACAGCGCCCACACCCATCCCCTTGTCTCCCCCGCCCTCCTTCCAAACCCGGTCTCAGTCTTCTACTCGGCCACCAACGTTCGTCAGCCGCCCGCTATCCCAACAGTCTGCCCCGTCAGACCCCGCACCGAGCTTCACCAGCAGACCTCAGCCACCGCAGTATTGGCAGTCGCTAGTGGGCCCACTATCACCTGCTTCGAGCGCAAGCACAGGGCCAGCGCCATCTTTCAGCGAAATGAGCGTAGACTCAAACGAAACATTACCCGCGTACAGCCGCTGACCACGCCCCAATCTACATTTCTTCAAGAGCCTAGATCTGCGGAAGCTAAAATATAAGGCGCTCAGGTTGTAAATTATCAATGACGGCGCATCGTAGTGTTGCTGAATATCATACTAAGTCTCACGAACCGAGTCATGGCTGATGATCTGCCTTTTTGGTACTTCACATTCTGATGCATCCTCTGCAACTGTGTGCGGCGGTAACCAAACATTTCGGTCCGTGAGCGCGTGGACGCCTGCGCAAGTCCGAGTCGGTGCATATGCTCGAGGACGTTACGCAGCTTTCCCCGAGGCGACCGTCGCTTCACGCGGCGGGCTCTCTTCTTTGCGGTGAGGTAACCTCCACTTTTCCGATTAGCCATCCGAACGAGGTCACACGCTGGTGGAGACCAAGCTGCTCGCGGCAATCCTCGTATCATACTGTAGCCTGAGTCAGCAACAAGTTCAGTAATGCAGCCTATGAACGAAGCGCATACAGCCCCACTGCGCAAGCGCAGGGCAGTATTCCGGTGGAGGTTGGATCACAGACTGAAAGAATCATCTGACTTACTGCTTTGGAGTAACAACTGTAGACGAACAGTAAATATTATACAAACAAACAACAAACAAACAAATAATTGTTGACAGCTCTGATATGTCAAGTTCGAGCGTGCTCTGAGCACGATTCAGTTCCCGTGATGATTACTTAGAATGCACTCTTTGAGCTCCTAGTACTAGGATCAGCCCGCAGCACTCCAAGTACCATCTCTTCGCATATATCCCCTCGCCAGCCAGTCCTTCGGAAGACTCTGACGGGCAGACGTCGGCTTCGATGTTCAGACTACTGGCGACCTACCTCCTTATGGCTGGGTAACAGAACGGGTCGTAGCGACGTAATTTTGTGCAGTCTACGAGTGATAAAGAGCGTGCATTCCGACTTAACGATGAAAAAGTATGTTTACAGGTGCGAAACTGGGTCTCTTACTCTCATCGTCTTTCGGTAAACGCGGCGATAACTCTCACCGATGCCGCAATAAACATATGCTCCAAGTCCGCATTCTTGACCAGAAACACGGGAAACAAACACGGAGATTCCAGGATTGACGTACAAAGCTCATGGCCAACATGAGAAGCAGGAGAGCGGTGCTGACGATGCAGAGGAATGGGAGGAGCGGATAACTTGCCCGGCTGCGAGCGGTCGTTGCCCGATCAGAGCCTGCCTTTTATTACGAACGTATATGGACGAGGAGAAAGGGTGGGCCCTATCCAGGACGACGCAGGCATCAACTTGGCGAACGCAGGTCCACGCGGCGCACTATATCGTATCACCTAAACTTAGCAGAGCGAACGGTTCGTACCGGGTACAGGCTATGCTTAGCGATGGTCAATCTGGATATCGGTTTATCAACACGCATCAAACAACCACCAATGACACGCCTTCGCCTTTTAGAGTGATATGGGGAAGCCGAGGTCTTGGTTGCTTGGTTGAGAAGAGGAGCATCACACCACCGGCACGGTACAGCTGTACCTCTTATTGATCCTTTGCGAAAGGCCTCGTTCGGCCCTGAAGCCGGCATAGCGAGCTTGCGAGCCTGTCCAGGCAAGCTAGCAAGGAAGAGCGCGCAGAGCCATATGTCTCTTCTCGATTGTCGTAGATAGCTTCGCTGCCCACACTGAAGGCGCCAGGGAAGGCAGTTGCAGCGTACTTCGCCGTTACGTCAGCATCCGCGAGCGCCAGTGACGTCGAGCAGAAAAGAAGCATGGGGCCGCACGTACGCCTAGAATGCCACAATCGACGGACTCGGCACGGGGAATAGAGGCCGGGTGCTGGTTGAGTTTGCAGTTGAGAAAGGGGTGGTACTCGTCTACGGCAAGAAGAATGGCATTCTCGACGAAGCAGGACGAAGCATATCGGAGTTTTCCGAGCACCTAGCAAAAGGAAGCATAGGTGTGAGACAGCGGGGTGAAGTGGCGACAATGCTGTGTGTGATACTGTACGGGTGTTGGCACAGGTAAGTCGCGACTCAGAGATGACTAAGAGTCCAAGTCCTTGGTCATCCAATGACGACTCAGCGCGACAGTACTCTTGCGGTTACCCTAGCTATACAACTGTCTCAGGCAAGGGAGTGAAATTCCAACCATCGTGGCTGCACCGTACAGGACACTGAAGGAGAACATGAAAAAAAAACTGCCTAATTGAAAACTCCATAGCAGCACTCGGTTTCGATCCGAGGACCTCGGGGTTATGAGCCCCGCGCGCTAAACCAGCTGCGCCATGCTGCTGTATTTGGGTGGTCCAGCAAAACAATCTCATAGTACAAATCTCTCAGTATTGAACGTAGTCACTTGTTGTTTGTGAGTGGTGGAAAAATACATGCACGTATAGTGAGTGAAAACACTGTACGGTTAGGTCAGCCCCCCTCTCTCCTCCTTCCACGCCGCGAACTCTTTCCTGACGCGCTCAACGACGTCGGGAACAGCGCTCGCCTTGCCGAACGCGTCAACGAACTTGCCATCCGGGTCCATGAAGTAGAAGTAGATTGAGTGATCGACGAGGTAGTCGTCGCCGGGCTGTGTACCGGGGGGCGTCGAGAAGTAGACGCGGTACGCGCGACAGACGGCCTTCGATGCCGCGTAGTCACCGCGCAGGCCGACCATGCGCGGGTGGAAGTCCGCGACGTAGCGCGCGAGCTGCGCGGGCGTGTCGCGCGCGGGGTCGACGGTGATGAAGATTGGCTGCACAAGCGGACCGAACTCCTTGTCTGCGTGCGCGTGTATCAGATCTAGATCGCGGCCTCGAACGGGGCGCGCGGCGCACCGAGGATGTCGACGGCCTCCGTCATCTTGTCGAGCTCTTCGGGACAGATGTCCGGGCAGTTGGTAAAGCCAAAGTAGATCAGGCTCCACTTGCCCAATAGGTCCTTATCCGAGAACGGTCGACCGTCGTGCGTCGTGAGCTCGAAGGGCCCGCCGACGGTCGGCCGACCGTACGAACGCGAAAGGCGCTCTTCCTCTGTGCGGCGTCAGTCTCTCGCGGGCGGAGGGAGAGGACAAGGGGTACGGGGCTGGAATATGAGAAGACGGCGCACCTCGCTGCTTTTGTAGCCGCTGCTTCTCCCAGTCAAAGTAGAAGTAGAGCGCGGCGCCGACGCCAACGAACAACAGCGCAGACACGGGCGTAAAGACCTGCGCAGCCCCTCCCTCGTCAGCACCCGTGCGCGGACGCCGGACACCGGACACGCACACCGACGACGGACTTGTTCTTATACTTGTCCTCGAACGTGACCCGGGGCTTCTCCGGCGGCGGCTCGTCGGCGCTCGAGGTTGCATAACCGCGGCGCGTGGGTCGCGGCGTCGCTGGAGTGCGCGGCCATCTCCATGAGAAGCGGCGTGGCGCGCAGCGGGCGGACGGGGGGCCGCGCAGGGCGAGGCGGAGAGTGGTGACGGTCTGCATACGAGGCACGTCGCGGCGGCGTCTGGCAGATCGAACTTTGCTCGCGCGGCTTTCTCGCTGCGGGACGAATAGGAAAAGGGGTGTGGGCGTCCTGCGGTATTCGAGCACTTTGGCTTGCAGAACGGCGAGAGCTCCAGCGATCCCAGACGATCCTTCCGCCGAGCCGAACGTGTCAATATGCGAACTGCAGATATTATAAAACGCGGAACACTAGTACTGAGTACTAAGTTTCGTTAGAAGTTCTGGCCTTAGTCAAGTCAACTCTCCCACGATCCGAACCCTCGAACGCGCGACGCGTCCTCTCAATATTAACCCGCACCTCCATCTCCCACCCTCCCGCGCGATGTCGATGAACATCTTCAGCCAAGAGGTGCGTCGATGCCTCTTCTCCACTCCGTCTTTTTTTAAAAAAAAATAATATATCACAGGCGACCGAAGAAAAAGCGGAAAACGCGCGCCTCGCGTCCTTCGTCGGCGCGCTCGCGCTCGGCGACCTCGTCAAATCGACGCTGGGCCCGAAAGGCATGAACAAGATTCTGCAGTCCGTCTCGTCCGGCGACGTGTCGGTGACGAACGACGGCGCGACGATCTTGAAGGCGGTGCAGCTCGACAACGCGGCGGCGAAGATCTTGGTGAATATCTCGAAGGTGCAGGACGACGAGGTCGGGGACGGGACGACGAGCGTGTGTGTGCTTGCGGCGGAGCTGCTGAGGGAGGCGGAGAGGCTGGTGGGGACGAAGGTGCATCCGCAGACGATCGTGGAGGGGTATAGGATTGCGAGCGGGGCGGCGCTGCTGGCGCTCGAGCGTGCGGCGGAGGACAACGTGTGCGTGCGCTCGCTTTGTCTGTGTGCGGGTGGGATGGAGGCTCACGAAAGCGCGCAGGGCAGACGAGAAGAGGTTCCGTCTGGATCTGTTTAATATCGCGCGGACGACGCTCTCGTCGAAGGTGCTCTCGCAGGACAAAAACTACTTTGCGAACCTCGCCGTCGAGGCTGTCCTCCGTCTCAAAGCGCGTCTCTCTCCCTTTCGCATTCCTATTACTCGACGCTCACACACACGCTCCGCAGGGCTCGACGAACCTCGAGAACATCCAGATTATCAAAAAGGTCGGCGGCAAGCTGACCGATTCGTACCTGGACGAAGGTGCGCGTCGCTCTTTCGTTCGTGCGCGGCGGTTCACAAGCCGGCGCAGGGTTTATACTCGACAAGACGATCGCGGTCGCGAGCCCGAAGAGGGTGGAGAACGCGAAGATCCTGATCGCCAACACCTGTGCGTTCTGCCCCCGATCGCGGCCGAGCGCGGGCGTTGCTGACGGGGTCGCGCAGCGATGGACACGGATAAGATCAAGATTTTCGGGGCGCGCGTGAAGGTGGACAGCACGGGCAAGCTGGCGGAGCTGGAGCGCGCGGAACGCGTGCGTGCGCGCATTCTCGTACTACGCTCATGCGCTCAGCGCGCGCGCGCGCGCGCACCTCTTAACAGGAAAAAATGAAGGCGAAAGTGGACGCGATCGCGGCGCACGGGATCAACGTGTTTGTGAACCGGCAGCTGGTGTACAACTACCCGGAGTCGCTCCTCGCCGAGCGCGGGATCACCGTCATCGAGCACGCGGATTTTGAGGGCGTCGAGCGTCTCGCGCTCGTGACGGGCGGCGAGATCGCCAGCACGTTTGACAGGCCGGATCGGGTGAGGTTGGGGAGGTGCGACGTGATCGAGGAGGTTATGATCGGCGAGGATAAGGCGCGTCTCGCTCGTGTGTGTGCGTGCGTGCTGACGAACGGGATGGACAGCTGATCAAGTTCTCCGGCGTCGCGGCAGGGGAGGCCTGCACGGTCGTCCTGCGCGGCTCGACGCAGCAGATGGTCGACGAAGCGGCGCGCTCGCTGCACGACGCGCTCTCGGTGCTGACGCAGACGGTGCTCGAGACGCGGGTCGTGCTCGGCGGCGGCTGCTCGGAGACGCTGATGTCCGTCGCGGCCGACGACGCGGCGCGGAGCGTGCCGGGCAAGCGCGCGATCGCGGCCGAGGCGTTCGCGCGCGCGTTGAGGGCGATTCCGACGGTGCTTGCGGACAACGCGGGGCTGGATGCGAGCGAGCTTGTTAGTCGGCTGCGCGCGGCGCATCATGCGGGGCAGGCGGACGCGGGGCTGGACCTGGAGCGAGGGGAGGTGGGGTCGATGCGGGAGCTGGGTGTGACGGAGAGCTACCGGCTGAAGAGACAGGTTGTGCTGGCGGCGAGCGAGGCGGCGGAGATGATCATCCGGTGCGTCTGGTTTCTCGCTGTTCTCGGGCGGGAGCTCATGGAGGAAACAGGGTGGACGATATTCTGCGGGCGACGCCGAGGAAGCGGGAGGCGGTGTAGGCTGGCGCGTGTCCGCGTAGTTACGAAATGATTGTTTGTCCGGAAGACGGAATAAGGACAAGTGTGATGTGCCTGGGTGGATTGCGGGCGACGCCGAGGAAGCGGGAGCTGGCGCGTGTCCGGAAGACGGAATAAAGACAAGTGTGATGTCAGAACGCGTGCCTGTGGCTGTGCTCGCGTCGTCGTCGTCGTCGTCGTCGTCGTCGTTCTCGTC